GACTACACGCCCCAGCCGATGGATACCGAACGTCGCACCACGATTAGAGACATCCAGGTTGCCTCTACCGCAGCGCGGCTTGCAGCCAAAGAGGACGTGGAGAACGCTGAGAAGGAAAATGACATGTCTGCACCATTGGTATGTGTTCTACAATGGATCTTCGCTCGGTGCTCATTATTCACCGAAGCTCAAATACCTCGAGGCAGTCGTGTCCACATTCCCTGAAGAGAATAAGCCCTTATTAGCCGACACCCACAGTGTCTCTTTTGAATCCCTCGATGAACAGGGCCGTTATACAAGACCGGACATCACATCTAGCCAGCCTGGGATGAAAGAGAAGCCGAAGAAGTGGGCTTGGCCGCACGCCGGCACGGTCATCGAGTTGAAGTACAAGACCGATGTCTTCAACGACAGCGACGAGTTGAACTCTTCCGACGACTCGCGGGATGCTCTTATTCAGCTCGCTAAAAGCGCCCGGAGCTTGCTCATGGCGTCCAGGAGCTGCGTCGTTTATGTCGTCGCCGTTTTTGCGCGTTGCATGGTTCGCATCTTTCGGTTCGATCGTTCTGGTTTTAGAGCCAGCAGCGCCTTCGACTGGACTGAAGACGATAAATTCTTTCCTACCTTCTTCTGGCGTCTATACAACCCAGAAAACCGCTCCACTCGCATGTACGGGGGGGACGAGACTTTGTCGATTCCAACAAGGGAGGAGAAGGAACACATGCACGCCGCGTTGTGCAGGAACAGTTTTTACAAGGATTACTCGCTTTCGGATGCCACGGCGGACAGTCTCTGGATCAAGGCTGTCCGCTCGCGCCTTGGCGCCGATGGCGACGTTGTTTCGGAGCCCGTTACATGCTTTACAATCGGCCCTCCCCTCTCGATCTCGGACGGACTATTCAGCCGTGCCACCCTCGTTTATCGGGTGCTGCTCAAAGAGGACGCCGATAAAGAGAACCTCACCGTCTACGCCTTGAAGGACGCCTGGAGGCAGCAGTCTCGCAGGCCCGAAATCGATTTCTACGACGTGATTGCGAGACATTGCGAGCTCAACGACATCAACATGGACGCGAAAGGGATGGCGAGATGCCATGGCAGCGTTGATTTGTCCGTCCCGGGACTCATCCCCAACCACGATCCCGCTCTTCATACGACGTCCTCCAATTCGGCATTCGAGCGTTGCCATATGCGGTCGCTGCTGACGCCTGTCGGCCGCCCGCTCAACTGCTTTACCTCAACAAAATCCTTGGTTGAGGCTCTTCATACTGCTGTTCAGCGTACGTCTTCTTCCAACTGTTTTTCATTGGCGCGTCTAACCCGAACTGTAGACCATGAAATCGCCTTCAACGCTGGCGTGTTGCACCGCGACGTCAGCGAGGGCAATGTGCTTTTCGCAGAGGCCCCGGAAGCCGGCACGGAACCAAAGGGCTTCCTCGTCGATTGGGATTACGCCGAGTTCACCGAAGATGGTCTGAACAATTTCATCGAGTGGTTCAAAGAACGCGCTGAAGCCAGCAAGAATTATAATGATATCGACAAAAGTTTGAAGGATGTGACAGTAAGTGATGCTCTTCAATTCGTCCATAAAGCAGCTAACATTTGCTAGGGAACGTTTCCTTTTATGGCCATTGAGATCATAGCCAACGCCGCCACCCACGGTCCGCACCATGATTTAGAGTCGGTATATTGGCTCCTCATTTGGATGCTCCTCCGACACACAAAGCATAATCATGTCAGAGGTTCCCTGGCTTGTGGCCGCCTGTTTGACTCTCCTGGAGAGGACATGAAGGTCAGCTGGATTCGGAATCCGACTCCGATTGAAAACACGACGGGTCCGTTATACCTCCTCGCCGAATCGCTCCGCAAGGCGGTTTTCCATCAGAATCCTGCAAAGTTGGGAGCGACTTTTGTCGACCCGGACGATTCGACTGACTCCGATGGTTCGGATGATGACGATACTGTCCTAGTCGTCAAGCCGCTCACCTACAAGAAGGTTTTGAAGTTCTTCAGTAAGAAGCTGAAGTCAAAGAAATGGCCGCAATTGGATGGAGCCTTCCCGTTCGTCGTACCCAGGGGCGATGAGTCCAAGAACAAGGAGGCGGAGGCGAAGGTGAATAACCCTCCTCGTCTGCGTAGGGAGGCGCTCGAGCGGTCACAAGGTCTGAAGCGCGCTCTACCTGAAGATTTGGAGGAGCACGTCGCTCCTTCCTCTGCGTCCGATGGCACTATCGCCGCTTCAGGTAGCGCCGGGTCGGCCGTCAAGAAGGCCAAGATCTCACCAGCGATAACCAACGCGGCGCAGGAGGAGCCAACACGGCGTAGTAAGCGTCTGGCGGCCCCCAAGTCGGGCTCGGCTAGTACGAAACACTAGTCAGCGTACGGACTCTTCGCGAGCAATTATCATTCCCTTGTCCTTAGATACTTCCAACGCCCCAAATTTTATGCTACCATTGCTCGGGCCCGCTGGCTCTCGTCTTCATCGCCATGCCACCGGTGGAGAACCAGGCGCCAATATTACATACGCAAGGAATGAAATCGACGAATCTAGCACTATATATTTACAAGTCTATACGATGCGTTGACTTCCGGTCAAGATATATGGGCGCACCATTTCACTCAAAGTCGAGGGACTCCAATTTTTCCCAGACAGGGAGCCCAAACACAGAAGGCAGCTTCTTCCAGCATCTCTTTCTACCGCGTTCGAAGACGTCCTTCGCCTCCCGCCGACAGCCGCCGCACAAGTCGTCCCCCCAATCGCTCTGCCACTGGTCCACAGCCCAGACCTTGGGACGTGCTTGTTTGGACATATCGTGAATAATGGCCTTCAAGGCGTCATCGCAGTCGTCAAAATGGCGGCAGTGTGCGTGGGGAATGTGCATTCCATCCACGTCGAGCCATGCCATCGTCGTCCTGGACTGGAGTTCCAAGAGTTTCACGTAGCCCTGGAGGCAGGCGAGACGATCAGCAGGACTGAGACTCTCGTCCTTGGCATTCAAAACCTGCAATAATTATTATAAGTAACTTAGACGTATAGCAATCCTTATGACGAACCGTGCGCATCGCGTTCTGGCTACAAACGACGTGATAATATATCGAAGGGAGGATTGAATGCAGATCGATTTCCCTCGCTAAGGATAGGAGGGAGAACCAAATGTCCTCTTCCTCTTCAATGAGCTCCCAGTTTGCGTTATAGTCGAACTCTGTTAGCGTAGTAGGGAATTCCGTCTTCAATCGGCGAAGGCAATCCTGGCGAAAGAGTTGGAAATCATATTTTTTGCCGAGCCGGAGAACAGCCGCAATTAAGTCAATGCGTGGTGGCCCTTCTGGAAGACGTCTGTACGACCCGTTTGCGCGAATTCTGTGCCGGTACGCCAGCTGGTACTCACGTTGGGTACATCGCGCCAAGGAGATGGGTCCAGTCTTCGGGAGTATCTCCAGTGAGGATAACTACTGGGCAGTTTTCAATCGTAGGCTCGTCTGCCGGGAGGGGCACCATGAACATGTCGCGAAAAACGGTCGAGTGCAGGGAGAGTATGCTTTTCGTGAGGCGAAACTGGGTGGATTCCACCTGCAGGATGACATTGCCATCGTCGAACCAGTATTCTTCGGAGCGTACAAACGCGGTTTCTGGCGCATCTGCGCCTGTGCGGCGTCTCTTGGTCGGTGGCATGTCCTCCATTCAAGATGGGGTTACTTAATGAGCGCGTCCGATTGAATTGGTTGTGTTTGGCTGCGGCTTGCCCTGCGTTTTCAATGCGTCCTCGATGAGCTGAAGCGGATATGAGCGGCCACTTCGCCTCGTCGACGCCAGTCATAAACAGCGGCCCCTTCCAACGCAGCCTTTCATCTATCGATACCACAACCTTGCCGCAATCCAGGTCTCAATGACCCACGCGAAACCGTGACTATTTGTAAAGTTCTCAAACTGAAACGCGATCCGACTCCATCCTCGCGCGGTGAGTGAGCATCGATCTCCACCATCGTGTCCACTAAACATATTCGTCGTATCCTAGGGTGAGCATCAACTTGTTACCAACCTCCAAAAAATTGCGTGAAATTCAAGCGGCAAAATATTTTCAACCACTTACCTCGGCGCTGTACTGATGCCAATCAAATCCTTTCGTGCTGGGGCCTTGAGAGAAGCCTTCTCCAGGAACGCTCGATGCGACAAGATGAAACGCAGGAAAATAATCCCCGTAACGTATAAGCTTGCGCGCCTCGAGGAAGCCCCGGCCCTGTGTCCGTCCACCGTGAACGGTGACCTGGACCTATCGAGTGGGATACTCCGTACCCTCTCTCACTTTATGTCGACTCGTCTGATTTCCGTGACATTATCGACAACGCTATAACCAAGGTCAGCCTCGAACAGGCCTTCGCTGCGATTTTCGAACTTGTAGGCGTTTACGATCCAGACAACGAAACTGTTTCTCAGTGAATATGTTCTTGTACTCCGGCCGCTGTCCCAAACCCACTGAATTCTTCGTGCACCGCAATAATCTTAGTGTATAGGCTGAGTAGCTGTTTATTTTTTAATAGTTAAGCCCCTGAAATTTCTCTAGAGCTTTGGACTTCCTGACTAGATGGGGGTGCAATTTTTACACGTCACGAGTGAGTCGTTCTCTTCAGGTTGTACTCATGATGCATAGTTCCTCGGCGGGTTACCTTTCCGTCTCTTCTTCCACCTACAAATAATGTTTTCGAGTGGCCAATTCCGCGAGATATCTCATGAACATCTTGGGGTACTATTTGGCTGTTCAGTAGCGCTATGTGAGGTATATGAATGAAGTCTGGGGGACTTCGATACCTGAAGTGGCTGTGTATAGTTCTCGATGCATATGGGCTTTTACGCTGCTCACTTATTACAGCGGTCTATTCTGAGAAAAGTACAGTACGGCCAAAAAAGAAGTCGATTAACGACAGAAACCCAGGATCGCATAGGGGACTACACTGAAGTTTCACGCGGACGCGGGGTTATCAACAACCCGGGGCCCGGCCCCAAACTGCCACAGGGAGGAATCGAACCCCCGACCTTCCCGTCGTCCACATGTCGGACTGTCCGGGCGCTCTACCACTGAGCCATGCGGCAGCGAAAACCCTTGCAAGACAATATACTTTATTCGCACTTATATAGAAAGGGATATAAAGAAGCTGCACTTTTTTTCGGAAACGCCGCCGACCGTGGTAACTCCGCAGTAACTGCAGACCGACTGCAGACCAACGATCTTCGGCATCAAACTTACCATCAAGATTCCCCGCGGGGAAGAATCGATGACATGGTGACGCGTCAAGGTCGCGTCAGTGGCAGTGCAGATCGACAATCAAACGCGGTTGTTTGCTCGCCAACACTGCTCTTTCTGCAATTCTCATCTCGCCCAGCGAAAAATGGCCCTCGTACCTTTTAGCGTGTCTCGCGCGGTTTCAAAATGCATTTCTAGCCCCGGTTATCACCCCGCCCCCCTTCTCCACATCTTGGAAGGTGACTGGACCATTATCCTCAGCGACTCCCCAGATCCCGCCTCGCCGGTGCCTGCAGTGGCCGCGCTACCTCGAGATACACTTTCCGCCAAGGGGAAGGAAGTTCTGGACTGGGTGCTCTTTCTACTCATTGCCAACGACATGGACGGAAAACCCGACGGGTTTCTCGCGGTGCGTCATGAATTGCAACATACGCTTGACTTTTGACACAAATACAAACCCTAATAGACCATCAAGCAAGCAGTTGCATCAGAGGATGTCCTCGAAAAAGTGATGCGCAAAATAGACTTCCGGTTACTCGAGTACAAAGCCAAGAGGGTTGACATAGGGTTTCGCGCGGTAGTGGGGCACGCTTGGGTCAAAATGGGTCGAGATATGGCGTGGATAGTCAACTGGCTCGAGTTGATTCTGGGGCCCCTCATCCACGTCGCAAAAATCGCTTATGTCGAGGAGTACGTCCATCACATTCGTTACGCTCCAGTATTCATCCCACGGATTTTCAGCCTTCAAACCGAACTTCCTAGATCTGTGAGGCCAGGAACGAGAACCCGCCGATCCCAACGTGAAGCTTCGGGTCCGTCGTTCTGTCTTTCTTCCACCACTGTCGAGATTTGATAAATCGTCTACAGACTTGGTATTCTTGAAAAACCTGCGTCGTGTTCAACGGCTAGAACTCGTCTCGGATGTCTCTGAAACGTCAGATTCCGGGTTTCCAATTAAGATCTCATCGCCCCAGCGGGTAACGCCTTCCGCTATCCTTGTGTAGGCTTTCAATCAAGCTCCCTTTCAGATACCTGCGTTCGAGCCTTGGACCCGTGATTTATCCCCCATGAATCCCGGCATCCTCGGGCATAGTGCACCGACGATCTTCAGCTCGCATTCGGATCCCGAAGTCCCAGTGCACGATTCATTATCTGTACGTAACTGTAACCGCTCGCCCGTTCACGAAAGGACTTATATCGCCTACATACCATCTAGGAATTCTTGGTTTGGGACGAGACAGTGCCAATCGAGGGGTTGACGCTGCTGTACGAGCAACCGCTCAATGGCATTGCAACCGTGAGAAAGCTTTTCTTCTTTCCCGCACAATGTTCCAACGAGATCTTACTAGCCTGGCGCCCTGGAGCCGCGGATTCTTTCTGAACTCAGCGTGGATGAGCCCGACCCGCGCGGCATCGGCCTATTGGCTGCTTTTGAGGTGACGACGCCCCATCCGCCTTGCCAAGTTCGTATAAATTCTAGCGACATCTTAGCTCAAGGCTACTATGTACCTCCGCACCCGCCGAGAGCATCACAGACAACACGCACATGAAACTTCTGCATTCGACTTCCGTACGGCCTTTCTTCATCGTCGCTAAATATTCTAACGGAATTCTAATCTAAACAGGGTCACCTCTCTCCCAAGGTACCCGTCTCGACCGAAGCGAGTCCTCACCGAGCCGGGTCGGAGGTATTTATCTTCTCCTTTCGTTGAGAGCTTCCCTCACATTTTATTCTTTCTAGGCAGCGAGAGAACCTCGAAGCCCCTTGACACCGAGAAATCATTAGAAGCTAGCAATGACTCTCTCTTTCTCCCTCCTTTCCCCTCCCGCGAGATATTGTTCGTCTCGTTCATATTCTATTGTAACACTTGTAACACTCGACTGCCATATAATCGATGATACCTTCCGAAAATTCTTATACGCCTGAGTAGATAACCACAATTAGGGAAAGGAATTACAATAATTGTCTAGTCTTTCGAGTATGAAGAACGTGTCCAAGCTCAGGAGCCGCTTGCGTGTCAAAGCATGTGAGGAGGTTGGAACAGATTCAGAGAATGGAGTTATTCGATATCGGTGCCACCAGATCCCAACATTATCCCAAGTCGCAGAGTTGTGATGTTTATATCTTCAAAGCGTATTCGGATACAACTTCTAGGCTAGAACGCCAACAACTTCATTTACATTATAATTTTAACAGTGTTTTTCTTGCATACACCTGTGGGGTAAAAAATGAGAACATGTCGGCCACGGATGTCTGCAACTGACTTGTAATGTAAATCAAATCTCGTTCTTGAGCTCCGCCCAATCAGGGAGACCGAATAGCCTCGGCAACTCGTCCCAGAACTTTCGGGCCCCTCGCTTAAATGAGAATTTCATGGCTCTGCCACATTCGGGGCAGAACTCTCGTTCGAATAAGATGTTCCAGCTAAGACTCGCTCTAAGAGTGTACAGGGGGACGAAGAGATCATGGGTGAGATTGTCTCGCTGTGCAGCGCAAGTCGCACTGGAAGTGCAGACAGAAGATGGAAGATTTTCCGGTGTCATCCACTCGAATAACAACTGCGCCTGGGTAAGATGGGCCTGTTTCTGAGACCGGAGAAGTATGACTTGGTTTTCGAACGAGAGATTCGCAGTGGTTTTATCGGCACGTTCGACTCCGATTAAGATTTCATCCTAAGAGGATCAGATCATAGAGGTGTAGGTTTGTTAACAAGGATATTACCGAAGCGTCAGGTTCGACATCCAACAGCGCGCTAAAATACAACGCAGGGAGAAGGGCAAATAAGCCGTTTTCAGTGGCGAGGTTAATGGCGTCAAAGCAAAGGCCGGGATCCAGGACAATGCGCTCCGTGGCTGGTCCGGAGTTATACGTATGGAGAGTACGAGGAAAGTGGGCCGTGAGGCGGGCAACTACTGCAGCCAGGAGACGGCTAAAATCATACTTCTTGCCGAGCCTCACGATGGCAGCCACGACCGGAAATTCAAGCTCGTCGGCCGAGTCAAAAAGACTGGGAATTGTGGTAAGAATCTAGTATCTTCGTCAAGACCGAGCACAAAATACTAGTACTGACGGATCATACACGGCACGCAGTAGATGTTCTACATCTTGGATGGAATCGGATAGTCGGACAATCGGGCAGCCCTCAACCCGAGGCTCGTCGGGTGGCTGGGGGATTCCACGCATATCGTTGAAGATCGAGGAGTGTTGTGCGAGGACGGTCCAATGGACGCGACATTGTGTGGATTCGGCCTGGAGGATAACACTCCCGTCGTCGTACCAGATTTCAGAGCGCACTACTTCTTCAGGCGAGGATGTCTCGTCCGTCCTTTGCCTCTTCGCAGCCGGTTGGTCTGACATGAGAAAGACAAGTGGAAGATGGTGGAAAACAGAGTGGAACAAAGAAACGGCTGACGAGGGACCGGGGACCGGCTTGGCGTTATCAGGATCGGGCCGATCGGCCATCACACTTTCACAATTTAGTCATGCCCCATAGCTCAGCTCGCAGCCTCGCACAGCCAACGCACAGCCAGCGAGCATCGACGCGCGCTCTAGACTCCTAGCTCACACCACTGAATCGCGCGCTTTTCGCTCCCCCGCCCGCCATCCCTGTGTGGGATAGCTCATAGTTGCTCCATTTCCGAATTTTGGACTTAATAAGTACCCCAGTCAGGACCAAGGTTCGGCCCCCCCAAGACTCCGTCTATTCAAGCTTCCGCAGCCAGCCGCAGCCATCCCGCTGGCATTGTCCCGAATCTCACCGGAGACCTCGTGGAGACTGGATTTCCGACACATCCCGTTCTGGACAGGCCTCGAAGCCTAAGCGGCACGGAGCGTGAACCTCCGGTTCTTTCCTCAACCACAAATCCAGCAATTCAACTTTGTGTCTAAACTTCACAGTTGTGTTCAAGTTGCCTTGCGCACTCAGTACTTGGAAACAGCTGAATTTGTGTTCCCTTCCACGTTTCGGAATTGCTGCGGAACTGTCGGGTTTCCCGGTTCCGTCGGCGTCAAGGTCTCCAACTACTATACATAGCCGGGCTACAATTTTGTCCTGCTTCTTATCCTATACCCGAGTTCAATGCCAAAGGGTCGGACTCGCGGTCCGTATTCAACGCAAGCATGCACAATCTGTCGAGCAAAGTAAGTTCCCTCCAAGATTTTCTATTACCGAGCCAACTCCGCTCTTGTTCAGAAAGTCCAAATGCGACGGCGTAAAACCGGTGTGCGGTTCTTGTGGAGCCTCTAGCAGGGATAACGAAGTGAGTCCCCACTCCACTCTTAGAGCTGCGCTCATGCCATGGTTATTTAGTGTTCCTGGGGACGGGATACTGACTCACGGAAACCCCGAACGGAGGCACATTTTGAAGCACTGCGAAAGCGGACTGATTCGCTCCAAGCCTACGCCGATCTTCTCGAACGAATGCTAGCAAAGTGTGTGTGCCAAGATGTGCAAGCTCACCGACCTCAAAAGGAGCCTTGGGGGCAGGAAGAGAATTATGACTCCGACGCGCTGAATTCGGACGAAGAGATTACACAGGAGCTCACTGTACCCGTGCAGTGTCTCAAGGCAAGATAATTTGGATGTCAAATATAGCCCGCTGACATGCATTTAGTTTGACGACAATCTCGGAAGGCTGCTTCTTCACGGAATAACCGCACCTTTCCGGTTTGGTAGCAGACCCCCGAGCAAAGTTTCGCGAATCACAGAGGTCGTCGAAGCTCCCGATGCCTCCTATGTACTGATGGTGGACGGTGCCGAGCTACTGGATTGTCAACCAGAAATCGATTGGTCAAGACACTTGCCGCCCGAGGTAGCGCTAGACAGGAAAGAGCACGACAAGTTTGTTA